TTTGAATCAATTTTGATAACTTTGAAATATGGTGAACCAAAATAATCTTTGCCATGCCATTTCTTCCAAAACAAATTCAATGGTGAGGTTTGAATTTCTCAAGCTTTATTGACTAGGTCATGGAAATAAACTCATGAACCCATAGGTCAACTTACTAAGCCACATTGCCTTTACATACATTGTTGACAAGTGAGACAAACCAACATTGCATTTTATTAGTTAAAAGTAAATTCAAAATAAAACATGAATGATCTCAAAATAAAAACAAGTCAAGTTGCTTGGTGATTCCTCAAAGAGCAAAGCTAAAGATAGGGAGGAGAACCAAAAACCCTAATGTGATCTTGTTGTGATTGAATCAATATGGTAAGATGAAGGGATTTTAGGGGGAAAATTGGGGTACAACAGCTGCCCTTATTTAAGTTTCTTCTATCTGGAGATACGAAGGTTAAAAAAAATCTTTGTGTCGAAGTGATGGAAGATACTTAAATATAAAACAAACCCTATTTTTGGCCCTAAGATGCCATGCAATGTTTATGAGTATGAATGCATATGGACAATTTCAAAGGGACGCAAGACACCACTGGGGATGTAGCAAAGGAAATAAGGATCAAAAGAGAAAACCGACCAGGAAAATAAATCACTGGTGAATCCAAAAAGACCCGACTCACAGAGGATGGTAAAAGATCAACTCATATACCAACTTTTACTGGATGCGAAACTACCAACGTTCACTGAAGGTAGAAAGTGGAAAGAAATAACAACACCAACGTTTACTGATGGTGAGCTACCAACATTCACTGAAGATAGCAAAAGGAATCATCGACGTTTCCTGACGATGAACTACCAACTTTTATTGAAGGTAGAAGGAAAATAAATATCATATCATCACCGTTCATTGACGATGAACTATCAATGTTCAATGAAGGTAGCAAAAAGATAACAATCACCAACTTTCACTGATGGTGACCTACCAAATTTTACTGAAGATAGAGAGGAAATATATCATAGCACCGCCGTTCACTAACGATGAACTACCAACATTCACTGAAGGTAGCAAAAAGATAACAATCACCAACATTCACTGATGGTGACCTACCAACTTTCACTGAAGGTAGAGAGGAAGTATATCATAGCACCGCCGTTAACTGAAGATGAACTACCAACGTTCACTGAAGGTAGCAAAAAGATAACAATCACCAACTTTCACTGAAGGTGACCTACCAACTTTCACTGAAGGTAGAGAGGAAATATATCATATCACCACCGTTCACTGATGATGAACTACCAACATTCACTGAAGGTAGCAAAAAGATAACAATCACCAATTTTCACTGATGGTGACCTACCAACTTTCACTGAAGCTAGAGAGGAAATATATCATAGCACCGCCGTTCACTGACGATGAACTACCAATATTCACTGAAGATAGAAAAAAGATAACAATCACCAACTTTCACTGATGGTGACCTACCAACTTTCACTGAAGGTAGAGAGGAAATATATCATAGCACCATCGTTCACTGATGATAAACTACCATCGTTCACTGAAGGTAGCAAAAAGATAACAATCACCAACTTTCACTGATGGTGACCTACCAACTTTCACTGAAGGTAGAGAGGAAATATATCATAACACCGCCTGTCACCGACGATGAACTACCAACGTTCATGAAGGTAGCAAAAAGATAACAATCACCAACTTTCACTCATGGTGACCTACCAACTTTCACTGAAGGTAGAGAGGAAATATATCATAGCACCGCCGTTCACTGACGATGAACTACCAACGTTCACTAAAGGTAGCAAAAATATAAGAATCACCAACTTTCACTGATGGTGACCTACCAACTTTCACTGAAGGTAGAGAGGAAATATATAATAGCCCCGCCGTTCACTGATGATGAACTACCAACGTTCACTGAAGGTAGCAAAAATATGACAATCATCAACTTTCACTGATGGTGACCTACCAACTTTCACTGAAGATAGAGAGGAAATATATCATAGAACCCTCGTTCACTAACGATGAACTACCAATGTTCATTGAAGGTAGACAAGAAATATATCATAGCACCGCCGATCACTGACGATGAACTACCAACGTTCACTGAAGGTAGCAAAAAGATATCAATCACCAACTTTCACTGATGGTGACCTTCCAACTTTCACTGAAGATAGAGAGGAAATATATCATAGCACCTCCGTTCACTGACGATGAACTGCCAACGTTCACTGATGGTAGAAAAAAGATATCAATCACAAACTTTCACTAATGGTGACCTACCAACTTTCACTGAAGGTAGAGAGGAAATATATCATATCACCACCGTTCACTGACGATGAACTACCAACGTTCACTGAAGGTAGCAAAAAGATAACAATCACAAACTTTCACTGATGGTGATCTACCACTTTCACTGAAGGTAGAGAGGAAATATATCATAGCACTGTCGTTCACTGATGATGAACTACCAATGTTCACTGAAGGTAGCAAAAAGATAACAATCACTAACTTTCACTGAAAGTGACCTACCAACTTTCACTGAAGGTAGAGAGGAAATATATCATAGCACTGCCATTCACTGATGATGAACTACCAACGTTCACTGAAGGTAGAAAAAAGATAAAAATCACCAACTTTCACTGATGGTGACCTACCAACTTTCACTGAAGGTAGAGAGGAAATATATCATAGAACCGCCGTTCACTGACGATGAACTACCAACGTTCACTGAAGGTAGAAAAAAGATAACAATCTCTAACTTTCACTGATGGTGACCTACCAACTTTCACTGAAGGTAGAGAGGAAATATATCATAGCACCGCTGTTCACAGATGATGAACTACCAACGTTCACTGAAGGTAGAAAAAAGATAACAATCACCAACTTTCACTAAAGGTGACCTACCAACTTTCACTAAAGGTAGAGAGGAAATATATCATAGCACCATCGTTCACTGATGATGAACTACCAACGTTCACTGAAGGTAGCAAAAAGATAACAATAACCAACTTTCACTGATGGTGACCTACCAACTTTCACTGAAGGTAGAGAGGAAATATATCATAGCACCGCTGTTCACTGACGATGAACTACCAACGTTCACTGAAGGTAGAAAAAAGATAAAAATCTCTAACTTTCACTGATGGTGACCTACAAGCTTTCACTGAAGGTAGAGAGGAAATATATCATAGCACCGTGTTGCACCCCAAAATTTTCCCTCCTAATTTCTTTTATTTGGCTTAGGCTTAGCGTCGCATTCGTATCTTTTCATTAGGTTACTAACATAGCATACATTTGGTTCAATAAAGTACCATGGGTTCAAAGGACCAGTGAAGTAGAAATATCATGGTTTTACAGTGATTAGTCGTGCATATCAAATAAAGGTTGGTTTCTTCTGATTTTCCTGGCTAGTCTTCTATAAGCGGAAAAGTGTGGAGTTAGGGTTTGGTTGTTCATTGGTTTCATATTCACTAACAATTATCCCATCAATTAAGACTCAGTGGATTATAGTTGCATCTCATGGGCTATTTCGAGCATCCTTCAGGTCTTATTCCCTCAACATCTCAAATGCTTCTTAAGTGGATTAGGATTCATGTCCGTAGTGAGGGCACTGGTTAATTCAATTAAAGATTCATTATGTTCTAGGCATCATTCTTTTAATACTTGTCTCTTGAGGTTGAATTGAGTTTGAAGTTAGAAATTTTAGCAAGAAGGCAGGTTGATTTGGTTTTTTGCTCATTAGAAATTGAAGTCATTTTAAATCCATTGTGGTGAGATGTTCAGTCATGTGGTCTATGAATTCAATGTTACCAAGAGATCAATTGGTATGATTCAAGATTTTGGTTCATGGATTCTCTATGGCATCAAAATTGATTCGTCAAGAATCAATACAGGGGGTGCATTAAGATTTTTCTTGAGGATCCACATTTCATCAATTCAAGGTGCGTCTGTGGCTTGGACTATAAAGTGTAGACCGTGGTCTTGGCACAAGGAGAATAAAGTTTGAATTCATCTATCCACAACACAATAAATTAAGGTTTTAAGTTTTTTTATTCAAAGAGGTGTCTTTGGCTTGGAGTGCAAGGTGTGGACAATATGAACTTGAACATTGAATCTGGTTTTTCTATGAAATTCAAGCATGATGTAACATTTGATTAAGATCCAAGTATTGATTCAAGATCTTGTTTTGAGTTATAAGGCAAGCATCATGGTTAGTGAAAGTATTGGATTCATTTTCCTTTTGATAACATAAAGCCCAGATTTTGATTGACAATATTATTTCAAGCATGTAATTGGAGTTCAACTATGGTGGAACTATGAAAGGTACATAACTTGATTCAAACATCATGGAATTCATCATTCAAGTATTGATTCGAGTCCATTCAAATAATCAAACATCATTTAAGGTTCTAAACAAGGTTCTTCAAATCCCATTCAAAAGACATATGAATCCATTCAAGTGCATTTCGTCGCTTGAGTTCAAATACAAGTTCAAGGTATCATGTAGCTTATTACAAAGTCATGCTTAAACCAACTTATTATCATTCAAGATTTGAAATAGTTTAAAGATTGGAAAAGAAAAGAAGCTCAGACTAGAAAGTCAAGATGGAACAAATTTACTTACAAGGTTTTATCCTATTACAAGTACATGGTGCCATTACATGCTTGAAGTATACAAAAAGAAATAATTACAAGGAATTTGGTTCTATGTTTCTAAGTCCAAAGCTCTAAGTTATTAAGGCCACAACTCCATTCTTTCACCAAAATGTGCATCTGTTGCTTCTTACCAGTCTTTATCAGCATACCTTGGCTTCAATGAAAGGAAACTCGATGGCCTGGTTAGCACTTTTGTTACTATTGAAGAGTTTCGTGAGGTAGATGAAAATATCAGGATCGAAGAAAATAATGATTCCAATAAAGAAACCTACTCAATCAGATGAGACTTTGTGGCATTTGTCAAGGATAGCCGGAAGATTCTAGTAAATAATAAATAGAACTATAGCCAGTTTGGTTCACAAAAAAAACTGCATCAGGGAAAATTCAAAGTTAATTCAGAAACTATATCAAAACAACATCATTCTAATAATGTAAACCAATTGCATACCAATAGTTCAGTTCCAATTCAAAAATCCAGTCCCTGCTTAAAACCCTCACATCTTCCTGTTTAGCTTCAACATAAATCAGAAAACAATGAAAATAGCAGAAAGTCAAGAGTTAATGGCTAACTGCACTCACTAACAGAAAATCAGGAAAGAGAGAGAGACCAGCTTTCTATTTTGACTCATCTCATTGCTAATTTTAGAAAATATTTGATTGGTTGTAGCACCACTGGTTCTGATATTGCTTCTTCGATGGAAATTGGGCGGCCTTCTAATGTTAGACATATTGCTCATGTTGCTGAATGTGCTCAGGCTTCTTCCCATAACCAAATCCCAGCCCTGCATTAAAAATCAGAAACCAAATCCAGGAAACCGCGAAAATAGAATGAATTTAGGAAATAATGAAAATAGCAGTAAGTCATAATTAAAAAGCTAACTGCCATAACAGAATTTCGTAAACCAGCTAACTCAATAACAAAAATAAACGGCCAGCTCATGTCATAGAAGATAAGGTAATATCTAACAGATTTCTAACTGAATAAGAAAAAACCTGTGTAACTAACTCTCATCTCACCATTCATTCACTAACTGAACCTTTCAAAACCAAGGGTTGAGATCAATTCAATCCTAACTAACTTTTGCAATACTAACAAACTATAAAAAAGAGAATTTACCTCTTCTAGGACTGCTTCTTCAAAAAAATCACAGAAAAAAATCACAGAAAATGCATCTCTTGAAGTTATCTCACAACTCTAGAATCATCCTCAACATTCTTCACTTCATCCTCCAAATTCTGCAGAAAAAAACAGAAAAAAATATCTCTCTCTCCATCACCACCAAAAGCATCTGAGAATTTTCTCACTTCTCTCTTTTCAACTTTCTTCATACCGCAACCTTCATCCTCTACCACCATAATCGTTTTTCGATTCTTCATCACCAAAACCGCACTAACTCTAATATACTACTTTGCAACAACTCCGCAACATCAACAACAACTTCATAGGATTCGTCACCTTCATCGTTCTCTGCACACATAGTAACCACAACCATATCAACGTGTCATCACAGCTTTAACAACTTCGATCTACATCACGATATTCATCATCATCATCTTTCTATAACGAATCAAAATAACCAATAGAATAGAAGCACAAGACTGAATTAGTGAAAGGAAGAGAATAGCAATAATTACCTGTATCTCTGGATTTCTTGCAACGTCGACGTGGTTGTTGACGAGTTACCGGAGCGTCTCCAACGGGTAAGATCTTTCGTCCATTTGTTATGCTTTCTATTGGTGTATCACTTTGACGAACTGATGAGAATAAACGATCCAATTAGAGGAAGAGAGTAAGAGCGAAAGGCCGTCGAAAAGAGAGCAGAGAAAACGAAATCGAGATGGAGTTTGCGGTACAGATTCAAAGGGGGGAGGGGAAGGATTTGAACGGAGATTTGAGGGAGAATCGAAAAAAGGAAAAGAGTATAAGGACGGAATGAAAAGTTAGAAACGGCGGCGATCCGGTGGAAGAGAGGTGCGCTGCGGATGAAAGATTAAAGGAGAAGATCACATTTTCGTATAAAAGCTAGAACGTCGCTTGTGTTTAACACTAACACTATGTGAAGATGAATGGGAATTAGTTTATTTGGTGTTGTTGATGGACTGAACAAGGAACGTTGGGCCTAGCTTCATGCATTTTTGCTGAAGCCCAACCACTTCTACTTTTTGGCACGGTAAGGCTGAACAAAAATCCATTGGGCTTCGCTAGCCACCTTTCCTTCAAGCCCGTGCTTTTTTTGTAAAAGGACCGGAAATGGAATAAAAAAACAACTATTTGGACCATACTGCTAGGCCTAGCATCATATTACTTCAGCATACCTCATGCTTACAGATTGCACCCCTGAGTTTATCCTTTTAACATTTTCTTTTAAATAATTTTGTGAATTGTTTAGATCTGCTTGAACCTCTTTCTTTTACATGATAAAAATAATAGAATCAATAAAAACTTGTAGATTTTTTATTTTAGTGTTAGGAAATTAAATTCCAATCATCCGATTATATTTGAGATTGGTAATTCACCTTTGCTTGTTGAGATTTGAGTCTAATGCAGGTTTATCGCGCGATATGCGGATGCGTTTGAGATTTTGATTGTGATTTATTTTCACATCGATGATGCTTAGACACTTATTCTGAGCGTTTGATTTCTGACTCTTTTCTTTGATTGGTGAAGCTTTTTGCGAAGATCATCGAGTTTCTTTGTTTTTGATAGGATTTGCTACGGATTGATATCTGTTTGGTATTTTCTCTCGTTTACCTCATTTTCGCACTTTATTGCTTTCTAGATATCATGAGAAGTAGGAAATAAAGAGCGTGAGCTCGAAGTCGCTATTTAAAGACCTGTAGCAGGCATTCCGCACTTCATCTGCTATATGTGTTGTGCTTGTGTTTGTTTCCTTGGTTGTTGATCGATGAGTCACTCAATTTAGGAATTGAGATCACGACTTCTCTCTCAGTGCATGCTTCCTATAGGATTTTATCGCTTTCCTTTATTTCTTGTTGATTGATGAGTCACTAAATTTAGAAATTGAGATCACGACTTCGCTCTCATTGCATGTTCCCCGTAGGATAGTTTTTGTTAGACTTTCTTAGGTAATGTTAGCCTAGGTAGGATCTCTCTAGATGTGCTCTCTTGAGCTTATTGGCTTAATTGTTTGATTTCATCTTTGTGTGCATGTTTTGAGATGATATACCCTCGGCATGTTCCCTTAGGAATTCTCGATTCAACTATAGATGATGCTTCGAGATAGACATAGTTTTAGGGGATAGACCCTTGCTATGCTCCTTTAGGACTTATTGATTCATCTATAGGTAATGGTTTGAGATAGACATTAGGATTGTTATCCAAGCATGTCAACATAGAGTAGAGATTTCCCTTCAAACTCAACTATAGGATCAATCATTGTATGATAACATTAAGGATAGATTTAGGTTAGTCTCCCTTAGATGTTTTCTTTTCTTTTGCATCCTTGCATTTAAAACAAAAACTTTCCTTTTCTTAGCAAATGCATAAAACATCTAACAATTTTCAAATCCTTTTTTAAGGTAAAAAATATCAACAAATACAAACTCTTTTGCCTACGGGCTTTTCTTTCAAACCTTTTTCAAAAGAACATGTTAATTCACTTATGTGCTAACGCGTAAATCTCCAAAGGTCGAGTTGCGGCAGAAGGCGAAATTAATATTGTTCATTAAAAAATACAAACCAACAAAAACATTTGAAGCCGAACTACGGCTACTCTGATTCCTTAAGAGGGATACGTAGGCACTGGGGTAGGGCCCGAGCGAGCACAACTTTTATTTTCCCTACATTCTTTTCTCCTTTCTTTTGCATGCATTCCTCGTGCAACTTAGATATAGATTAACCACACCCATAAGATAGACAACAAGAGTGGATACTGTAGAGTACTACGGGCGTGTGGGGAGCTAATACCTTCCCCTCACGTAACAGACTCCCTTACCTGTATCTCTTGGTCATTCGACCTTGATTTCACCCTTCTCAGGTTTACTCGATGTTTACCTTTCCCTTCATCTGGGATAAAAAAGGTTTCATGGCGACTTCATTGATTTCATTATCAGTTGATTGTTCAGCCAGTTGTTTCACACTGCCGTTCACTGACGATGAACTACCAACGTTGGCTGAAGGTAGCAAAAAGATATCAATCACCAACTTTCACTGATGGTGACCTACCAACTTTCCCTGAAGGTAGAGAGGAAATATATCATAGCACCGACGTTCACTGACGATGAACTACCAACGTTCACTGAAGGTAGCAAAAAGATAACAAGTTTTTTTCAACATTCCGGCGTTTCACCTAGAACGGGTGTCAACTTCTTCTTTAACCAAGGCATTCCGCCTAGAAAGGGTGATAAGCTGTCTCAAATAAAGAGACTACCACTTGTAAAGATTTCACAATGAACAGTTTCTGCGATATTGAAATACTTGCCATCCACAGGAGTAATTTGACAACAAACTGTGAATTGTCCACTCATAGAGAAGATAGCAAAAAAGGGTAACATCGAATTTTATAGGGAAGTACAAGTTGCTCAAATAAAGAGACCTGCTACTCGCTGTTATGGGAAGGATTGTAAAAATGAATTTTGGGAAAAGCAATATGACCTCCTGGTGAAAGAAATATGACCTCTTGGGGAATGAATCATGACTTCCTGGGGAAAGAAATATGACTTCCTATGGAAATGCCAATATATTCCTGCTGAGGAGATAAAGTCTTCTCGTGCAAAATAAATGCACATTCTCAAACCAATACTCGAAGCTTGCAGAAATCCAAAGTAATAATATTGCTGAGAATCAAGGATTCAAACCAGAAATAAACTGGAATAAAACGATCTTCAAAAATACATTCTTTGAGAAATAAACTCAAGAGGGAAACCCAATTTATCCAGACAAAGAGCTGTGTAAGAAAGATAAAGCAAAAATCTTCTACGGGGGACAACTCAGTGGGGAAATTGAAAGAATATACATTTTCTGTTTAAGGCCAACACTCTATTGGAGAGAGGACAACCCAACTTTGGAAAACAGGGTAATATGTCAACAAGATATTAATGGATATGAATGAGCAATGATTTGCTAAGTTTAGCTATGCATGATATACATATGAATCTATGAGGTTTATCGTGCATATGCTGACCAAACAAACATATAATACTGGGGATAAACAAACAAAACCAACTCGAGCGCACACAACACTCAGCTAAATTACATCCAAGCCGATCATTCCAAAAGAGAGTAAGCACCAACTGAGGAAACAAAGTCCTACTGCATGGCTGAACTTTACTGGGGAGAGACAATCATAGCGACAAATTAGTACAGATACAGGGATATAACATCCTTATCCAGGCTTCACCAGGGAATAGCACTCAGACTTCAACGGGGAAATAAATGTTTTTGTGTGTGGCACTTCTACTGGGGATTGCAAAACTAATTTCAAATAAGGTAGATGGAAACCAAATTGTCAAAACATCCACCGGGGAATTCAGGCCAACTTTAAAGGAGAAAAATCATACATACTTCACTAAGAGAGATAATGCTTCATCATCAAAACATCAACTGGGAACTTCGTGATGACTTCATTGGGGAGGTAAACACCACATCATCGGGGGGAAACCAATATACGTTCTTCACTGGGGAAACCGGAGATACGTTCTTCTTCGAGAGTAATTATTGCACAAACTTCTCTGGGGAGAAATGACTTCTATCAAATAAGCAAGGCCTTCACTGGAGAATCTTGGTTTGAGTCTTCATATCATGCAAACTCAAAAAATGAAAAATGAGCCAATACTTGACTGGGGACACTAGAAACACAAACCCAATACTGCACCTTACGCCAATTAATATCGTCCTCAATATACAAAAATCACATGCATACCAGCGAAAACATCTTGAGAAAACTTTCCCAGGGGAAACAAAACTTCCCAAAATTACTAGAGTTCGTCCGTTCCTGGGATCACCACTTTTGTTTTCCTCTTGAATCACAAAATCTAAAGTAAAAGTAAGTTGTACATTCTTTTTGAAAAATAACTTTGTTATTTAATCTTTTTTCTTTGAAAATTATTATCAATAATAAATGGAGTCTTCGTAAGTTGAATAAAATAAGAATTACAAAGAATTGGGTAAAAGCTCAAATTTTATTGATAGAATGGTAGTCTGCAAATGGCGAGACTCCATAGATAATTACAAAGTTCAGAAAATGGTAATATATAATGGAAAAGATACATTAAGATACAATGACCACTATTCCCTCTAACAACTTTGAAATTCTGATCAGCAGCTTTCGTTGAAGTATGGTGAGGATCAAAGAAGATTGTTTCTTCAATGATCAAGTCTTGTCTGATGTAGTTAC